ATAATTAAGTATCATGAAGTTTCAAACCATCATGTTATGTCATAATATAATGGAGTACCTTTGTAGAACTGCTTTATTATTTATTCGTAGACCGAATCGATTAATAGAGAATGCTTTTTAGCGACCTCCTTTTAGAACATTTGAAGGTCAGATATACACAACTATCTATCCAATGGGATTTTTCGAAAAACGCCCAATATCGCTATGAATTAGGTGGCTTGTGATTTAAAAGCTTTTCATTTTAATTTTTCTAATTGTTAAACTAAGGTTTAATTCTTTTGATAAATGCCTTAAAAGCCGAAACGACAATCTCAATCTTTGAATGCAATTAAAGGCCGTTGGTTAAATGGATCTTATCTATCGAGCGATGATAGTAGTTATTCCATGGAACGTAGTGATGAAGATGAAACAGCAACAATTTTGTTTAATTTAAAAGACATGATTCAGATAAGTGATATCGCTGATTTATTTGAATTTTGCAAGAAGGAATGTAACATAAGATGTCTAAGTGTTCTTCTATATTTAATTTTACGCCGGTTCAACATTTCTTACGAAGAAACACATCTGTTTCTTAAGTCTACTGTAGGTTTAACAGGTGAAGTTGCACATAAATGGGCGAATGTTTTCATAAATGGGAACTTTGTTGAATTTATTAATGATGGAAGAAGTGGTAAACGAGAAAATTGCTTTTATGATGTTTATCCAGAAATTGAAGTTGAAGGAAAAGCGTTTGCAGTAATTCAATGTAACCAGAAAGTTGCCAGTTTTACAGCATATGATTTAGCACAGTTTATAGGTAAACGTTTTTATGAAATTAATGATACTAATAAGAGTACTTCTGATCTGGTACGATCTGTGGAGAGCTGCAGGCTGTATTTACGAAAGTGGGGAGTACACTTCGAAACCAACACGAATCGTCCTTATTTTGAAGGTCACGATCGTCCAGACGTGGTCACACACCGTCATGGATTCATCCATCATTTTTAACCAATAAAGATCATTATTACAGCGTTAGTCCAGATGAAGATCCTCATTTTCAAGTACCGACATCCTCGCAAAAACCATTCTTATCTGTAAGACTTGAACTTAGTCTAATTGGAACAGTATTGTAATCCAAGTTTCCTTTCTAGGCCATGACGAATCCACTTTTCGTAGTGGAGACGTTCGTGC